TTCTTTTCAATGGATTTTCATTCGTAAACCGAAAATTACATTAACCGAGGCGTTCGTAAACCGAGGTACGCCTCTATAGCTGTGCACAGCAGATGTGACAGTTTTATTACTACGTGGACTAACCATGTCTTGTAGAGGACTTCTAGTGGCCAAAAATGATAACTAACTCACACAGAGATCTTCTATCACATTCAAATTTGATTTTGAAAAATGGCCAACTGTCTATTTTTGTAGGCAAAAGGGGGACTAAAGCCTTCACCATGTGTGTAGCAAGATCATCTGGAAGGGATGGCTGTGGCAGGCGCAGCACCCTTTGGTGCCTTGTGCGCTGTGGCATTAGAAAAATTATGCAATTGCTGTTTCTTTGTTTGCTTAGACTGACTTTACTCTGTAATTCCTCCAATGCCGCTCTATGGATGCAGTAGGTTTAAAGAGCACACCGAATACTTTAGTTAACTTCTTTAATAACTTCAATCTTCTTCATATAACTGCTTACAATGGCTTATTTCTTTCATATTACAATGGTTTTCATTCGTATTACATTGGGTTGATTCGATAGCTTATCTCGATAGATTCGTTAGCTTATGTTGTTAGATTAATTCGTTAAATTCGTAAATTCGATAGGTTCAATTATGATTACTCTACAGTGACTTGATTCGTAAGTTCGTTCTGTATATTTCGATAGATTGATAAATTCACTTGGATTTATAAATTCGATAAGTTCGTAAGTTCGGTGGAACTACAAGTAAACACATACAACAATTTTTACATACAGATCTACCTGAATTACTAAACAACAGAGGAACACACAAGTGCATTAAATACCTATTTGGCCTTCTCTGTTTCCATAAAGCTTTTCTGATTGGAACTGTCTGTTTCCTCTTCTGTCTGGTGAGCATGTGTCTCTAGAAAATCCTAGCAGGGAGTTTTACACAGGCATAAATGTGAAACTGGCTGGGATTGGTTAAGGCTCTATACAGTGTGAGGCTGGCTGTGATTGGCTCACCTTTAACTAAATCTTAAAGGCATATTTTCCTTTTCTGCTTCTGCTAACACAATGAATATATAAATGTCATATAACAATCAAAGACATACAGTCAGGTCCATAAATATTGGGACATTGACTCAATTCTAACATTTTTGGCTCTATACACCACCACAATGGATTTGAAATGAAACAAACAAGATGTGCTTTAACTACAGACTGTCAGCTTTAATTTGAGGGTATTTACATCCAAATCAGGTGAACGGTGTAGGAATTACAACAGTTTGCATATGTGCCTCCCACTTGTTAAGGGACCAAAAGTAATGGGACAGAATAATAATCATAAATCAAACTTTCACTTTTTAATACTTGGTTGCAAATCCTTTGCAGTCAATTACAGCCTGAAGTCTGGAATGCACAGACATCACCAGACACTGGGTTTCATCCCTGGTGATGCTCTGCCAGGCCTCTACTGCAACTGTCTTCAGTTCCTGCTTGTTCTTGGGGCACTTTCCCTTCAGTTTTGTCTTCTGCAAGTGAAATGCATGCTCAATCGGATTCAGGTCAGGTGATTGACTTGGCCATTGCATAACATTCCACTTCTTTCCCTTAAAAAACTCTTTGGTTGCTTTTGCAGTATGCTTTGGGTCATTGTCCATCTGCACTGTGAAGCGTCCAATGAGTTGTGAAGCATTTGGCTGAATATGAGCAGATAATATTATCCGAAACACTTCAGAATTCATCCTGCTGCTTTTGTCAGCAGTCACATCATCAATAAATACAAGAGAACCAGTTCCATTGGCAGCCATACATGCCCACGCCATGACACTACCACCACCATGCTTTACTGATGAGGTGGTATGCTTAGGATCATGAGCAGTTCCTTTCCTTCTCCATACTCTTCTCTTCCCATCACTCTGGTACAAGTTGATCTCGGTCTCATCTGTCCATAGGATGTTGTTCCAGAACTGTGAAGGCTTTTTTAGATGTCGTTTGGCAAACTCTAATCTGGCCTTCCTGTTTTTGAGGCTCACCAATGGTTTACATCTTGTGGTGAACCCTCTGTATTCACTCTGGTGAAGTCTTCTCTTGATTGTTGACTTTGACACACATACACCTACCTCCTGGAGAGTGTTCTTGATCTGGCTAACTGCTGTGAAGGGTGTTTTCTTCACCAGGGAAAGAATTCTTCGGTCATCCACCACAGTTGTTGTTTTCCGTGGTCTTCCGAGTCTTTTGGTGTTGCTGAGCTCACCGGTGCGTTCCTTCTTTTTAAGAATGTTCCAAACAGTTGTTTTGGCCACGCCTAATGTTTTTGCTATATCTCTGATGGGTTTGTTTTGTTTTTTCAGCCTAATGATGGCTTGCTTCACTGATAGTGACAGCTCTTTGGATCTCATCTTGAGAGTTGACAGCAACAGATTCCAAATGCAAATAGCACACTTGAAATGAACTCTGGACCTTTTATCTGCTCATTGTAATTGGGATAATGAGGGAATAACACACACCTGGCCATGGAACAGCTGAGAAGCCAATTGTCCCATTACTTTTGGTCCCGTAACAAGAGGGAGGCACATATGCCAACTGTTGTAATTCCTACACCGTTCACCTGATTTGGATGTAAATACCCTCAAATTAAAGCTGACAGTCTGCAGTTAAAGCACATCTTGTTCGTTTCATTTCAAATCCATTGTGGTGGTGTATAGAGCCAAAATGTTTAAAATTGTGTCGATGTCCCAATATTTATGGACCTGACTGTAAATTACAGCAATGATTCTGCTTTTGGCTTTAACATATGCACATATATATACTGTACTGAGGTTATTGGCAGGTTTGGTATACACATATATGTGACCCATATTAGCAACCTAGGACTGGTCTTAGCTGGCCAGCTACAATGGCGGATGGTCCTGGTGGCACAAAAGTTGATGGAGAACAGGAAGATGTCTACCTTTTGATCTCCTTGAGCCATCTGCCTATCTGTAGCCACTCTACATCCTTGTCCAGTTTGGAGCTGTGTATAGCGCTGGTGTATAAACAGAAAACAGGAAGGAACAGAGTTCCTGTGAATGACAGGAAAGTCGGGAAAGAAAAATACAGAGAAATAAATAAAGGTCAGAGTTTCTAAAGCCTCTGCAGAAACGGTGTGGAGTACACAATATCATCTACTAAAGGGACTGTATGAACAAAGGAAAGAAACAGGAGGCGCCCATCTAAGTGCAGTTATTAAAACCGTGTTTTAATGATAAGGCTCCATGTACACAGGACGTTTGGAAAACTCTTCTGAATGATGGAAACTGACTGCTGGAAAATGTAGGTTAAAAATGGCTGTTTAGCCGCGTTTGCATACCGCGTTTATGAGTGTTTGTGTTTAGAAGCGTTTTTTTAAGACAACCTCAGGAGACCTTCCAAAATGCCCACAATGCACTGAAAAACAGTAAAAAAATTAACTATTTCAGACATTTTGAGAGAAATAGAGAGAGCAGAAGCAGAGAGAGCAGTATGTGTTGAGATGACCTGTCTTTTCTGGTTGTATTCACTATGGATCCCATCACGAGAATAATGCGGCACATTCTACCATTGTTTCCTTCACAAGAAACCTGGAACTGACTGCGCTGGTGTACCGGATCTATTTGAATACATGGAAAACGCTTTGCATGCATTTCTGATGATGAAAAAAAAGGCTCTATATAGCATTTAAATATGGAACAGTTAAAAACGCTTCTAAACGCAAATGCTTATAAACGCGGTTAGCTGCATTTACAAGCATTTGGTATTTGATACGCTGATAAAATCTACTCCAAACGCAAGTTTGGTACGTTCAAAAAAACAACTGTAAACTCAACTGCCTGTAAACGACTTAGAGTACATGGACACATAGGAAAACATTAGGGAGAGTTCAGGGGCTGCTAAAAAAAAACGCAGAAAAGCTCCTAAACGTGAGTTTATCAGCTGCAGTGTACATGAGCCCTCAAGGATAAAAAAACACTCAAAACAGTAATAAAAAACAAGCTCATCTGTGTATAAGGAATGACCGTTCCTCAACTGTTACTCTTGTGAGTGTTTTTTTATCCTTTATCATTAAAACACAGTTGTAATTACTGCACTTAGATGGGCGCCTCCTGTTTCTTTCCTTTTGTTCTTACATGCAGAGTCGGCTTCGCTCCTAGGATGACTGTCACTAATTTGCGGCAGCCATCCAAGGAACAAATGTGGTGGTGCAGGTGGACTTCTATAAAGACTTTGTTGCTTGTTTATGAACATTATACTTTACTCCACAGTGTTTGACATTATTGCTTTTCCCTGCATCACTCTATATAGATTGTCTACCTTACCTCTGCGCACCAGAATGACCTCTGTACTGTATGTATCTTGTATGTATCCACTCAATCGTGTCCGACTCTAGGTGATTTTGTGGGCACCATGTTTTAAATGCTTGAAAGCTTCCAGAGGTAGGTCACCAGATCTTTCCTCAACCCTCCCCAAATGGACTGGCATGCAGAACATGATAACCCATGTGCATAGCCATGTGTACATACGTGGTGCTCAAAAGTTTGCATACCCTTGGAGAACTGGTAATATACAGTATGTACCATTTTTAAAGAAAACATGAGTGAGCAAGCAAACCACATTCCTTGTATTTCCTATGGGATTCGTATTCTGTAACTGTAGGTCATAACAGAATGGCACAATCGTGAAACAAAACATGGCAACAAGTAAGCAAATGACCCCTGTTCAAAAGTCCGCGTCCCCTTAGTCCTTAATATGGTGTATTGCCCCCTTTGGTATCAATGACAGCGTGTAGTCTTTTTGTAGTAATCGTCTATGAGGCCAGGCGGTGCAGGTGGTATAGCTGCTCATTCGTCTTAGCAATATACCTCCAGGTCATGCAAAGTCTTTGGTCGTCTCGCATGAACCGCACATTTGAGATCTCCCCAGAGTGGCTCAATGATATTACGGCCAGGAGACTGTGATGTCCACTCCAGAACCTTCACCTTTTCCTGATGTAACCACTGGAGGGCAGGGGCAGACTGACCATTCAAGCACTAGGGCACTGCCCGAGGGCCGGGGGTCAGTAGGGGGCCCCATAAAATGCCCCAGGTACCTTTTATAGGCTTTTTTGGGTGTGCTTTGAGTGTGGCCCCATGATCCCCTATTGCCCAGGGGCCCAATGAGTTTTCAGTCCACCCTTGCTGGAGGGTCAACTTGGTCTTGTGCTTAGGGTCATTGTTGTGCTGGAAAGTCCAAGAGCGTGCCATGCACAGCTTCTGTGCAGAATGTAAATTGTCTGACAGTATTTTCTGATAACATGCTGCATTCATCTTGCCATCAGTTTTCACAGATTCCCCGTGCCTTTAGAGGTCACACACTCCCAAAATATCAGTGAGCCACCACCGTGCTTCACAGTGGGGATTGTATTCTTCTCGCTATAAGCCTTGCTGACCCCTCTCCAAACATAGTGCTTACGGTTGTGATCAGTGGCGGACTGACCATTTGGAAACTCGGCCCGAGGGCCTGGGGTCAGTAGGGGGCCCCATGAGATGCCCCTGGTACCTTTTTCATAGGCTTTTTTGAGTTTGGGCAAGGACACAGGGGCCCCATGATCCCCTATTGCCCGGGGGCCCCATGAGTTGTCAGTCCGCCCCTGGTTATGATCATAAAGCTCTATTTTGGTCTCGTCACTCCAGATTACAATGTGCCAGGAGCTGTGGGGAGTGTCAAGGTGTTGTCAGGCATATTGTAATCGGCTTTTTTGTGGTATTGGTGCAGTAAAGGCTTATTTCTGTCAACTTGTCCACGCAGCTAATTTTTGTTCAAGTAACATCATATTGTGCTCCTTGAAATGACCACACCATCTTTTTTCAGCCTGTATTTCTCCTGAGGTTACTTGTGGATTTTTCCTTGTATCCCGAACAACTCTTCTAATAGTTGTGGCTGCAATTTTTCTTGGGTCTACCTGACCTTGTCATAGTATCAAGGGATCCCCATATTTTCCATTTCCTTTTGGATAGAGTTGGGTTAAAGCCCCTGTCATGTTCATTTTTGCCATGTGTGTCTCATTCAAGACATTTACCAGCCTGTACAGCCAGTTTTTACCAGAACAAGTCTCCCCGGAGTAAATTTTCCTCTTATGTTTTCCAGGGCTAACCCAAAAATTTACTTTTTGCTCACATTTAGTGCCAGTAATGGGTCACCAAGACAAAGAAAATGTGAATCACTCCAATCGAGGCACAGACAGCAACAGAAACACTTGAATGGGGTTCTAACCCCTCCTACACATTTCATGCAAAAAGGCCTTTTTGTAAATTTTAAATTTATTGGGACTTCTGCAGAAATGTAATTATCTCCTGCTCCCACTAATCTGCTGTAAAGAATGGTATGACCTTCTCTTCTAATTGGATGAATAAGTGAAGCCTGACCATTAAAAATGCAGTGCTCATCGGGTACTACAGTCTTTTAGTTCCGGTTCACATCACACTCAGTCCAGTGCATTTTTTTTTTGCATCAAAAATGCATGGATAGTAGGTTATATGATGTCCAATGGCACAATTCACACCAGTGAGGTCATTTGTTCTGCACTGAACTGTGCTGGAAAGCTGTAAAATACATAAAAAAACGCACCAGAACGCATAAAAAAAGCATCAAAAACGTGTATGCAGAAACGCATCCTGATTTTTTCTACTCCTGGTCCAAAAAAGGCTAGAAATTGCAGGATGTAAGATCACTCCATGTTACTCCATAGAGAGGTCGCTGCAAATGGGAAAAACTCTTTTCTTGGAAATCCCTTTAATAATGACATTTATTGTGAATCATCTAAAACTCTGTCAATAGGATCCTGTAATCACATTTCATATGAAACCTGCGCCTCTGCGTAGAACCCTTTAATGATGTGGCTCCCTCAAGGACAATCCAACTTCATTTCATTGCATATCTCTATCTGTGTACGGGCCTGCGAGCATTAGATTGTATTATCTTGTTACCCCGCAGCGGCTTGAGTAATGAGCTGTGTCTTGGTAGCAGACTTGGGTATTGTGGAACGACAATTCTAGCCCTTTGTACTGTAACATCCACTAAAATGTAATATTCAAAAATTATTATAACAAGCCGGCAAAAAAAAAAAACAATTGCTGAAATTTCCAAATGTTCAGTTTTTTTGAGAAGTTTCTAGTTCAATAAAAAGCTTCACCTAAAGTGGTTGTGAAGGCTGAAGGTTGTTAGAATGCATGAGGTAAAAAAACCTTTTGTGCGCTGCCCCCCCACAGCCCCCCCGTGAGTCCCCTCTTGATTCAACAATGTGCACGGGAGCCTCGGCTGTCCCTGGTCTCTCCTCATTGGCTGAGATACAGCAGGGGGAGCCATCGGCTCCCCCTGCTGTCAATCACAGCCAGTGAGCCAATGAAGAGAGAGCAGGGGTGGGGCTTAACTGCAGCTCTATGTGTCTTATACATGCATAGAGCTAGGCTCAGGAGTGAGAACGCACCAGTGCTTGCTGTGGGGGCACTGGTCAAGGGGGAGGAGCCAAGAGCGCCGGTGGGAGCCCGAGAAGAAGAGGATCTGGGCTGCTCTGTGCAAAACCACTGCACAGAGCGGGTAAGTTTAACATGTTTGTTATTTAAAAAAAAAACTTTAATATCACCTTAACCATAAGAAAATCTAAGGCTGAAATGTCCCCTTGCATTTTGGATAGTGTATGGAATGGTAAGGATCCAACTGGGAAGTGGGAAGAAAAGTTTTAGAAAAGTCTTCAATGGAGATGCTGCAGAAAAGCATTTAGTGCGTTTTTATGTGTTTTTGATGCGTTTTGCATTTTAATCTGCAGCAGCAACAAGATAAAAAAAATGTAATAAAAAACGCAAAACGCATCAAAAATGCAAAACGCACCGCAGAAACGGCTCCAACATAAACTGCATAGGTGTGACCCTAGCCTGCCTGCAGAAGACTGATGACATCGTCTCATCCTAGGCAAAGCCTTTGGACTGGAGATCAGGAACTGTATTTTAGTGAAACCAAGTAAAGCTTATCTGAATACTTATTTTTAACATCTGGATTTTTTTTTTTCATGCAGATTTGCAGTAAATCGGAAATGTCCACTTTTCATGAATGGGCAGCACAGTGGCTAAATGGTTAGCTCTTCCCCCTGGCAGTAGTAAGGTCGTTGGTTTGAATCCCAACCACGGCACCACCTGCCTGAAGTTTGCATGTTCTCCCTGTGCCTGCATGGGTTTCCTCTGGGTACTCCAGTTTCCTCCCACACTCCAATGACATGCTGGTAGGTGAATTGGCTCCTGTCTAAATTGTCCCTAGTATGTGTATGTATGAATGTGAGTTAGGGACCTTAGATTGTACACCCCTTGAGGGTTAGGGACTGATGTGAATGTACAATATATATGTAAAGCGTGTAAATTGACGGCACTATATAAGTACCTGAAATAAATAAATCTGCTTTTTTTCAGCCATCTTCCTGTCTCCTCTCCTCCCCATCCTGGCGCGGGGATATTTCAGTCTGCAGCTCCTGGTCCTTAGGATCAACTATCTCTGAAACAATATGAAATTCTGCACATATTGATTTCCGCGATCCCCTCCGCTGCTCTCTGTCATCACCTCTGATGGATGGCGATAAAACGCAGTAATCAATAGCTGTCACGGACGTCAGAGATGGAACGGACGGAGATTGCAGTTCCCGGGATTCCAGTGATGTTATGATAAAATGAGATTTGTTTCCAGCTGGACTTATTGGGTACCAAAAATTCCCTGAAAAGTTCAAATCAAATAACTTGCGGAGCCGAAGAACACGCCGTAGTGAACGCCATTAGAATAGCAATGCTGCTTGAAGAACGAGAAATGGGAATATATATTTTATTAAGTGCAATTGGAATACAGCTCTATAGACAGGGAAAGAATAGATCATGTTAAATGTCTGCATGGATCAGTCCATCCACAACTGATATTTCAATTGTTGGTAGATGCTGGAGATATAACCCCCCCCCCCCCCCCCCAGTCATTTCTGTCTCTCCGGGATGCTGTTAGTGAGGACTCTGTGTTTAACCTCCCTGGCGGTATGATTATTTCAGATTTGTGGTGCTGAAAGCATGGTACCATTATTTTGCATGGAAATATGTAGTTTTTTTATTGTAGGCCTGTAATTTTTAGGAATAACTCACTGAAATCTGTCCGAACAAGAGTCTAGTAAACATCCCGGGTAGGATAAAACTTGAAACACGAAATCATAAATTATAATTTAATAAATAATCATAAAAAATAATAATATAATAATAATAAATTTAATTCAATAATATAATCAAACCAAAAACACTGAAATTTGAAATATAGCGCCAAGTTCGCACATCACTGAGCAAAGTCGCAAAATTGTTTTCAGTGTCTGATGAGGAATTTCCCCCACGAATCATTATCACTCAATTCTGCAAGTGGTTCTGATTTACTATCGCTGTTCTCTAGTCGGTCTAAAAACCGCTTTTGACCTAAAGGGATGCTTTCTGGATGCCATGGACTTTTCTAAGTTTCCAGGCAGAACGAACAGTAAAAATGCAGACAGGGGACAGAACAAATCACTCAGGACAAAATGTATGTGAAATGGGTTGAAACAGCAATGTTTTACTATGTAAAATTTCGTTTTGAAAAAAATGAAATTTTTAAAAAAAAATTCAAATTTCCCGCCGCCACCGCCGCCCGTACGTCCCAACGTCACAGGGACCGGAACACAGAAGCCGGATTCCGGCATCAGCCGGAGGAGATGGCCGGGCACGCTGCAGGGGACACATCGCGGGAGCGAAGGACAAGGTAAGTGCTGCAGGGACTCCCTATGCAGCGCCGCATGGTAAGCCCGAGTGTAGTTCGGGGTTACCGCTTTTGGTACAGAAACTTTACCCCGAGCTACACTCGGGAATACCGCCAGGGAGGTTAAAGCAGTATTAAACCCAAAAGTAAACATTTATTATATTGCAGCTTACCAATTCTTAGATGTGATTGCTGCATTAGTTTTCTTTTTTAGGCTTCTTTTTCACCTGGTGATCTGTCCAGTAGTGTATTAGGCCCCTTTAACATGGGTGTTCCGTATGTTTATACCCATGTATTTCTATGGACTAGCGGATGTAAACGGATGATCATCTGTTTACATCCATGCACTGCATTTTTTATTATTTATTAAGCTGCAATATAATACTTTTTGGGTTTCAGGTTTAATGCTGCTTTAAGCTTTTGATGGAGTTGGGAAGAGTTTATGTCATGTGTTTATTGCTGTGTGTGACCCCCATTGCAGAGATTTTCCATTACTTCCTACAGGACAAAATTAGTGGCAGAGGGGATGGGTGATGTCATCAGGACATTAAAGGAAGAACAGCAAATAAATGACTGTCAGAGGTTCTAATCCTCCCCAGTTCCACTAGAAATGTGTTTTTGCTTCTGTCTGCTTTCCTGTTTTAGGCTCCATGTGCACGGGATGTTTGGAAAACACTTTTGAACGATGGAAACTGACTGCTGGAAAACGTAGGTTAAAAATAGTCTGTTTAGCCGTGTTTGCATACCGCGTTTATGCGCATTTATGTGCATTTGAGTTTAGAAGTGTTTTTAAAAGATAACCTCAGGAAACCTTCCCAAAATGCCAGAATGTACTGAAAAACAGTAAACAATTAACTATTTCAGACATTTTGAGAAAAATAGAGAGAGCAGAAGCAGAGAGAGCAGTATGTGTTGAGATGACCTGTCTTTTCTGGTTGTATTCACTATGGATCCCATCATGA